CCTCCATGGCCCGGAACTGGTCTACACAGTCTGATCCCTTGAGATCCTCCGTGCTATAGTGGAAGCAGGAAAAGGCTGACTTGAATTGTTCCCCACAGGGGCCACTAGCCATTCCCCCCAGGCACGGGCAGTTCCAGTTAATGTCTCCATTGGGCAGGAACAATCCATGCTCCTCGTATGGGTCATTGGGATCGTCAGCCACCAGCTCTGCATTGCTTGGAGTTTCATGGTCTTCTTTGGTCACAAATATAATTCGATCCTTCCCTTCCTGCCCGCAGTAGGTCATGGCTGCAGACCAGCGCTCAGACCTCGCAGCAGTAGCGGCGGCAACGGCAGCCCCTCTTCTTATATGGTGCTAGAGGCCTTCTGGCATGATGATCACTTACTAGCTATGTGACTTGAAACAGGAGATTTGTTTGAACCTTAGTTTTCTTTCTAGTAAGTTGCAAGTAATAAATATCTACTTTAAAGGATGCTATGAATATTACACAAGACAAATTCCAACTATAGTACCTGATACATGGTAGACACTCAGGGGTAGCTAGAAGTATTGTATTACCCTCTCATTTCAGAGAACTCCCAGAATGTTCTGACAGTTTGGCTATGTATCTATGGCAGATAAGCCAAAGTTTTGAGAGGAGATTAAACAAAAAAAATTTTTGGAGTCTCCAATAGAGTAGAGAGAGGAGAAGCTTCCTAGGCCCACATTACCAAGCTATAAGAACCATGACTGGGAGGAGCTGAGAGTTGGCAAATCAAAGGTTTGGCTTATGGTACTGCACCTTCCTAGGTGCCAAGATCATGGAAGTCCATCACAGACTATATGGGCTTAGGAGTCTCACAAGCTCTGCCCCTTAGGTACGGCAGGGGCCTGGGGAAGTAAATGAGCAAATGCAGAGTCTGGTGCCCATTCCCCCAAAGCCTGGCCCAACCTGGAAAAATAAATGAGGAAGGAGAGTAATAATACTTCCTTACATCCAAGTAACACTAGTTTATCAAGCTCTCTGCATCCCTTATCTTCTTTAAAAAATATATATTTTTATTGATTTCAGAGAAGAAGGGAGAGGGAGAGATAGAAACATCAATGATGAGAGAGAATCATTGATCGGCTGCCTCCTGCATGCCCCACACTGGGGATCGAGCCCACAACCTGGG